TGGTTGGGCTATTCAGTATTCCCTGAGGTAGAAATTTCCATTGATATCTCCTCATAGGTTCATTATTAGTTGAAGGAATAGAAAATGCAAATTTAGGACAATCTTGAGGATGCAAAGGTATTGTATAAAAACAATCTTGTAAATCAACTACTATCAAAGGCCAATTTTTTGGAATCATGGACTGACAGTTGTGGAAGTCCAGGCTGCAAAGCACCCATGGGCTCAATGAGAGCATTAACTGCTCTGAGGTCAGTGAGCATTCACCAGTTTCCTGACTTTTTTCTTAATAACAAATACTGGAGAATTCCAGGGACTTGTAGAAGGTTCTATATTATCTAATTCTAATTGAATTTGTACTAATTCTGTTAGAGCCTCTAATTTTTCCTGGGATAGGGGCCACTGCTTGATCCATAGAGACGTGTTTTTTACCCATTTGAGAGCTACAGGAGTTCGCAGCTCAGCGACAGTGGCCCCTACAAAAAATGCTCTTGCATCTCTGTACGATAATCTAATTCCTCTCTTCCTTGCTGAGAGAAGGCTGATTGGGTTGAGTAATCCCCTGGTTAATTTCTAAACTTCTTTCTGGTGGAGATCCCATATAATGTATTACTTTTTTATTTTGAGGAGGTATCCAAATCTCTGTCTCCCATTGTATAAGTAAATCTCTTCCCCATATATTAACTGGAATATCTGCAATATAGGGTTGTAAAAACCCTCTTTGCCCCTCGGGACCTAGGCAAGGAAGAATACAGACACTTTAATGTAATCCTGAAGCTTTGCCAACTCCCACTATGTTAATACTTGGTTCTTATACCTTCCAATTTTTTGGTCATTCTTGAGAACTAATTATAGAAACATCAGCCCCTGTATCTAAAAGACCTTCAATTTTTTTGCCTTCGATTTCAATTTGACAAACAGGACAAATTCCTGATATTTTTTCCACTAGAAAAACACCTGCCTGATCAGCACTTCCAAACCCTCCGGTTCCCCTTTTCTGCCTCCCCTTTTTTTCTGGGAGAATATACGGCAGGAGAAGCAGTCGCGCGACTCGCTCTCCCTTCTTCGCAGACCAGGGAACTGAAGAGGACATTATTACTTGAATTTCTCCCTCGGAATCAGAATCTATGATCCCAGTATGAACGGTGACTCCCTTGCAAGTTAAACAAGAATGACCAAGGAGAAGTCCAACAGCATTAGGAGGGATCGGACCAAAAATTCCTGTGAATACACGGAGGGGGGATTCTCCAGGGAGCAGTAAAATATCTTGTGCTGTACAGACATCGACTGCAGCACTTCCTTCTGTGGCTGGACTTAATTGTTGGGCATTAAGTCTAGAATGGGCACTGCTGGTAATTATATCAGTTAGGTTTTCAAACCATCCCAACACAGTGGCTTAAAACAGCAATCATTTATTAGCTCACAATTTTGTGGGTAAGAAATTTGAACTGGACTCAGCTGGGTGATTCTTCAGCTAGCCTCTCCTAGATTCACCCATGTGGCTGCAGTCAGCTGGGGGTCATCTATGAGCTGGTAGCACTTGGTTAGTCACAGCCCCCAGCCTGGCTATTGATGCTAGCTTTGTTTCTGTTGGCTATTGACTGTATTGAAAACATAAAAGAGCACAGAGTCTAGTGATAAAGTATGGTAGTTGTTTATCTTTATCTGAAAATGGTTTTATTTTACCTAAACTTCTGAAGAATATTTTCACTGCACATGGAATTCCATGATATTTTCCCCTGAAGCACTTTTTACGACAGTGTTCCAAAGCATTCTAACTTGTAGCGATGACAAGTCAACCATAATTCTGATCACTGTTTTCTATACAAAATGTGTCTTTTTGTCTCTGATTGATTTGTAGTACTTACTTATGTAATTGTGGTTGAAAAAATAGAGATCTTAACCAACATTTAAGTGTAGAGTGCAGTATTATCTATAAGCACTGTGTTGTACAATCGATCTCTGGAAATTTTCCATCTTGCATAACAGACACATTTTGCCCGTTGAACTGCAGCTCATCATCTTCCCCTCTGCCCAGCTCCTGGTAAGCACGACTCCACTTTCTGCTTCTATGAGTATCATTACTTTAGACACCTCATATAAGTGGAATCATGCACTGTTTGTCCTTCTATGACTAGCTTATTTCACTCAGTATAATGTCCTCAAGTTTCACCATGGTTTCACATATGGCAGAGTTTCCTTCTTTTTCTAAAGGATGAATAATATTCCATTCTATGTTTATACCACGTTTTCTTTATTAGTTCACCTGCTGAAGGACATTTCGGTTGCTTCCCCCCCTTGACTATTGAGAATAAGGCTGCAATGAACAAGGGAGTGCAGATCGCTATTTAAGATCCTAATATCAATTTTTTTAGAAATATACCTGGAAGTGAGATTGCTGGATCATGTGGTAGTTCTATTTTTAATTTTTTGTGGAACTATCATATTGGTTTCCATAGTTGCTGCACCATTTCACCTTCTTACCAACAGTGCACAAGGGTTCTAATTTCTCTGTATCCTTGCCAACAGATTTTAGTTTTTGTCACAAAAAAGAAAAGAAAAGAAAAGAAAAAGCCCAGGAAGAACTTAATTTTCCTCAAAACCCTAAAACTAAGTACTATTATTAATCTTCTTTCTAGATACAGAAACAAAGGTATGAAAGATGAAATAATGTGTCCAAGGTCACATAGTAGGTACATGAGGTGTGATAAAAAAATACAGTGGATATTTAAATTTTAAAAATGTATTACAGTAAAAGACACATTGCCATTAATCTCCTTCAGAATACTCCCCCTCGCTTCAAACACACATATCCCATCATTCTTGCCACTTTCTGAAGCAGTTCAGAAAGTCCTCTTTCATGAGTGTCTTTAGTTGTGCTGTCGTGGCTGCCTCGATGTCCTGAATTGATTCAAAACCTTTACCTTTCATGGTCATTTTGACTTTGGGAAAGAGCCAGAAATTACACAGTACCAGATCTGGTAAATAAGGTGGATGGAGACACACCATAATGTTTTTATTTGAAAGAAATTGCCATCTCAGAAACTATGTGTGACACAGAGCCTTTCTGCTATGATCACAAAATACAGTGAATGCTACTGCCAACTGCAATCCAACGGATGGCAGGGATGTTCAATACGGGAAGTGGTGTGTTGAACCTTAGTAACAGTGTGTGACAAGTTTCAACTTGTTTGGTACAGTCAGCTGGGTGTGATCTATGGCTGAGAGAAGGTGTGTTTTAAAGTGTGTGGTAAATCATCCTACATCATGACAACACTCCATGTCACACATCATTTCTGGTATATGGCAATTTGTCATATTAAAACATTGTGGTGTCTCCTCATCCATCTTATTCACTGGATCTGGCACCATGTGACTTCTGGCTCTGTCCCAAAGTCAACATGATTCAGGACATCGAGGGAGCCACAGCAACACAATTAAAGACACTCACAAAAGAGGACTTCCAGAATGGCTTCAGAAAGTGGGAAGAACAAAATGGGATGAATGTGTTCAAAGCAAGGGGGGAGTATTTTGAGGGAGATTAATGGCAACGCATATTTTACTGTAAGAATTTTTTTTTATTCAAACAATCACTGTATTGTTTGATTAACATCTTGTAAATGGCACAATCAGGATATCAATCCTGTTAGTTTGGCCCCATCTGAACCACTATATTAGGCAGACTGACACCAGTGCTCCTGAACCATTGTATCTGATCTCATGTGCATGAGAAAATTTACATGCACTGTCTCATGTAACAAACCAAGAATAATAACCACAGAGTCAAGGAAGAGCAGAAAAAAATCCTTGGTTACCTGGTATGAAGACACTCTTGACAGCTGGGGAAAAACCCAGAGAGGTTAACAGGCTAGATTAAGTTACAAGGGAGGGCAGTAGAGACCCTAGATCTTCTGACTGAGTAACCATGAGGTCTAAGGGAAACAGAAGAGCAGAGGTCTGGTTTCTAGTACTGGGGCACAGAACTCTTTTGTTGTAGTCAACCTTTGTGAGATATGGACCGTACTAGGACCTGGGGGTCCACTCTGCTGATAGTAACAGAATAGTTTCAATGGCCATTGGCCTTGGAAAAATAATAATGAATGATTATAATGCCATCAAACCCAGGAGATAAGACTGATAATTAATACTCTAGGAAGGACAAGACTCCTAGAGAGGGCAGGAATAAAGATGTGCAAACTCGTCCTGTGCTGGTCCATGGACTGAAGGGGCACACCAGCTTTTCAGACATTCTCTCTAAACACTAGCCACCCCTGTCCATGCTCCTCTGATTAGAGGGATCCTGTTTCCCTCCATAATGAAACTACCCACTCACCTGGTAAACAAGGATAAGGTTGATGAGGAGAAGACACAGATAGGGTCAAACTTTCCTCCTTGGTAGTTTCAAACAGGGGAGTTGGGACTCAAAATATCATTTCTATGAACACTTCTCTCTTTTCTGTGGATGGTAGAGGAAGTGTAATGTGGGGTTGTGGGCATGTTCATGTGGAGAGGCTCTGGGTTTAAATTCTATCTAATTCAGCCACACTGAACCTCAGTTTCCTTATCAATAAAAGTGAGAGTAAGAAAGCGCTCACAGGGTCATTCTTCAGTTGTTTAACTGCAGCCTAAGAATGGGCAGGGAGATGACAGAGTTTATCCTCCAAAAGGAGGATCCTAGCAGCTTTAGTCACTCCATACTAGTGATTTTCTGTTCTGCATATGTGTAACAAAAGAGATCAGACTCTGCAAATCAGATATCACCCATATCTGTCCTAACGCCTTGCCTCTATTGCAGATATTTGAGAATGGGATGGGGAGGAAGAATACATTCATTGCCTACACTATCTGACTCCCCACCTGGCATCTGGCCTGTTGTTTTTACAAATATTGCAGAGTAATGCCAGGGCCTGAGGGGGCAAAGAGGAGCCTGGCATTTGGTTACAGAGTAGCTCAGTTGGAACTTTGCAAGAGCAGCTCTTTCAACACGATACTCTGAAAGGAAGGGCTGGATTGCATAAGAGCTGACACCAGAATTTTTTCCTTATGTAAGGTCCATCTTACAAGACTCAACTCAGCAATGTCTGGAAGAGACATGCCCAAATGCACTCTGTAGGACACTGCTGAACTGACCACATCAGAGTGAAATTTCTTCATCTAGAAGTCTGCTGTCTCACTTGCTCCTGGGATACCTGTGAAGATTGGTGTAGAGGCAGCTCCCCAGGTGAGGACTCATGCCCCCGTTCTCCCACCCCAAAAGAAATAATCATTGCTTTGTGTCATCCTCTCCACTTAAGTGACACAAATCAAAGTGCTTATACTGTGCTCTGCTCAATATCATATACCTAAGGAAACTGAATAAGTTCAACTTATGAAACATACACTGAATGTGTGGAGACACTGCAAACGTGACCATACTTAATCCGTCTGGTTATATTATAAGTTTTTTCCATGCCTGACTGATAAGAAGGTTGTTGTGCTTAGAGTCAGAGAGGAAATAAGTAGATGAATAAAGACAACATTACAAACCAGATCTATCATTTATTTAAATTGTATATTAAACAAATTTACTTTAAAGATTTCACCTATATGGCTACTACCACAATCTATTTTTTTATTTGTCTGTGTTATGTTTAAATTTATGCTCATCTATGTGGCTTATGAACTGTTTTGTCCTACATTCTCTCATTTTCTTTGAACACTTTCCCAATGTGTCCATACATATAGATATTATGTTAGTATGGTAGAGTTGCCTCACCCCAATAGATCGTATATTACCTTTCCCTATTGCTGGACATTGGGATTTTACTCAGAGTGTGCTTATATTTGTGTGACTTCATCTAACTTTATTTAGAGCTGTTTTCCTTTTGAACTGTTTTCTTTCCTTTAATTTCTACTTCTGGAATGACTGAGTTTGAGATTCTGAAGTTCACTCACAAGAAAGTTGCCTGTAGCTCAATTCTGCCATCTCACAGTGAATGTGTCAGAATCCCAGGCTCAGTCATTTTCAGTCTTCCCTATTCATTCGGCACCACCATTGGTTGTTAGATTGTGTGTACATCCTTGGAAGGTGGTACAAACTCTACAGTTTTCAGGAAATACAGTAACATTACACATCACAGATTTGACATCAAACTCTTCATTGCATGTTATATTCATGTAACTTCCTTGTGAGTTGCCTCTAAATAAAAGATATTCGTTCTCAGAAATTTTTATTACAGTCCTAAGACTCTCAGGCATAGGACAAAGTTATCTCTGCACTGGTCTGGATTTTTCTTCAAGACATAACTTAGCATAAAGTAGCTGAAAACCTTTCTCATGCCCAGCATATATTATGCACTAAATACACATATGTTGCTTGAATTCGTTAATTAATCAATCAATCTATCTTTGCCTTGGACAGTGGAAAAACCAGATAGACAGGTTAATATAAGCATTTCATGCATTCACTCATTCACAATCCACTTATTGAAGGCATATTATGTGCCAGAGATCGTGATATCATAATGGATAGGGTAATAAATAAGATGAGCTCTCTTCCTCAGAGGAGTTTACAGTCTAGGGAGTACTACTATTGTTAGTAGCAGTTTCGTGGAGAGTGCCAGATCTGACACCCACCAGCCTGAGGCTGGCTAGATGGAAGGAGAGCAAACCAAACCAAACCCAGATAGGTGGCACCCATCGGCACCGCCGTCCTCAAAGAAAGCGCCCTCAGATCCCAGCCCCTTCAGCACATGCGCCCAAATCAGTCAGTATATGTGCTTCGCATATGACCTAGGTGCTTTTCAAACTGCTGTTTCTGTACTGAAACTGACTGGTTGTGAATTTGTGTGTGGGCCCTCTAAGAGTGGAGACTCAGATTCCCACAGCCCCTCGGCTCCCTCAGACACCTGGCTTTTCCTTAAAACTAGATGTCATATGGGCTCCCCTTCCCAGTGCCAGTCCCGGTCCCTCGGGCTGGGAAGCCTGATGTGAGTCTTAGACACTTTGGTCCTCAGGGGGAAATCTGTGGCCATAATATCCCTCCTGCCCGTGGCATGTCATACCCAGGGTGAAGGCCCTGAGCAGACCGTGACTCTGCCTCTCCTACCTAACTTGATGTGGCTTTTTCTTTACACCCTCCTTAATATCCTCCAGTTGTAAAGAATCTGTTTCACTAGTCCTCAGGCTGTTCTCAGAGATAGTTGCTCTATGTAGTTGTAGTTTTGGTGTGTCATTACAAGAACCCAGCCTAGGATCTTCCTACTCTGCCATTTTTACTAGAAAGTTGATCTGTTTGGGATAGCTATTTTAGATAAATGACCTGGGGAGAGGGGCTAAAAGTAACAGAGGGGCAAATAAGTACAAACAGCAATGATTTTCTTCTAACATCTACCTTCAGAAATTTACAACCACTGAGTCTATCAAGAAGTCATTGTTAAAATTTTAAAATCAGCACCATTTATTGCAAAGACTATCCTATCTTTATTTAATCGTCTAGACATCTTTGTAGAAATCCAATTGACCACAAATGTCTATTTCTAGATTCTCAATGCCATTTCATTGATTTATTTGTTGATCCTTATACCAAGACCTCTCTATCATGATTACTATAACTTTCTAGTAAGCTTTGAAGTCACGTTAATTTTAAAATCAGCTTGTAATTTTTTACAATTAATTTTAGGGCATTTTATAACTAATTAATTGCTACATCAATTTGGAGAATATGGTGACATATTAGCAATAATGAGTCTTATGATCCTTTTTTATTTCCCTCTGTGTAACATTATGGATAATTTCAATTGCTGTACCTTTAATTTCACTGATCTGATCTTCTGCAATGTCTAATGAACTTTTAACCACATCCAATATATGTTCCATTTTAGATGTATTTTTTCAGTTCTATAAGCTCCATCGGGGTCTCTTTTATATCCTCCGTTTTTTTTTCTTCATTGTTCATGTGTTCCTCTACCTTCTTCAATATGAAGAGCAATGTTATTATAGCTCTTTAATATTTATGTTTGCTAATTCCAACATCTCTGCATCTACCTATTTTAAAATTTTTTTTAGGTGAGAAGAATCCTTATTTGCAAGTGTTATTGCATGGAAGTGGGGGGAAAGAGACTTTTCCAATAAGGAAGAAACACTAATGCAATAAGGAAAACATTTCGACCATAAAGTATGCAAATGTATCTTCTGCGACAACAATTACTGACCTGTGCTTTTCAAGTGGGTTAGGGAATCACATTTTCCCATTTCTTTTCAAACCTAGCATTATTTTTGTTGTTGCTTTTGTTTTGTTTTGTTTTGTTTTTTGGATGCTAAAAAATGTGAATTATATACTGTTAGTTGATAAATGTTGTTATACTTATTGAGAACACTGAATTTTGTTCTGGTGCACATTTAAATTATTTGAATCAGTTGGATCATTTGCTTTTATCCAGTGTTAAAAGCAAACCAGTGTTAGAATGGATCTTGAAGAGATATGGCCAAGTGTAACCCTCCTGCTAAGCCAGAGCATCTTACTCAATGGACTTGTGTTCTGAGAACTTTCCACTCTAGCCTGTGGGAAACACAAACTACTCCCAGCTTTGTGTGTGATCTATGAAGTTTTCCAGCTACTCCTTTCTAGTGCTTCTTCCCTAAGGATAAAGTCTAAGGTTGCTTCCTCTCACACAGTTCAGTAATGTGCCAAACACTCAAGGAGATCACTGTTCCCGAAGAGCTCCAGGACTGACTCTCTCTCTCTCTCTCTCTCTGTCTACATCTCTCTCTCTCTCTCTCTCTCTATCTCCATCTCTATCTCT